ACCAAGGAAACTATGCAAATAAGCTTGTTGGGTGATAAAAGTAGAACCAGGAGAAGGGATGGGAGACAAATTGAAAGTAACTGTTGTTTTAGATCACCATTAGCTCGCAATGTCTTATTTTTCTTATTTTATTTTAAATAGATATCCTACAAGAGTTTTGGTGACTAGATTTGTCATTTTATTTTCTGCAATTGACAAACACAAAAGTTCAAAAACCGACAGCGTGGACGTGAGAACGAAACAACTGAGATGTGCACTCACACACAAACACGATCGCACGCACGCGTGCGCACATACATAGACACACACACACACACGCACACGCACACACACAAACACGCACACAAAGGGGGCATACTTAATTTGAGAGACGGTTAATTAGCGACTGTCCACTCCACTGCTGAACAAGCGATCACTGAAGCGTGTACACCATGCTAATTATGGCTTAGCTTAGCATCGGCGCACACACACACACGCGTTGGCGTGGGGGTCGGAGGAGGGGGGGGGGGTCACTACATCAAATCCTGGAGCCGTGCCTGATGAAAAGGGTGATAGGTCAGTTGTTTAAGAGATTGTGCATCATTTACTATAAAGTTGGGTTTTTTTTCCAAAATGTATACCATCAAAACTTATCCTGCACATAGTTCACAATTAACAAACAAATCCGTGCATTTACACACGTAACTGACTTCAAGGTACCTTGTTGACCTTGTTGCTGGTTACAAACATGGTTACATGCCACCTCAAAAAGGGAAATCCAACACGAAAAGTGCCTATGGATTGAAGAATACATCCAACGCGGCGTCTCTCTCTCTCTCTCTCGCCCCCCAGGTCTAATCAAAGCCGGAATTCTCTCATCTGGCATAAAACGCCCTCCGTGATGATGAAAGCTGCTCGAAGGAACTTCTCAACATCTCACAACAATTTAGGAAACAGTCAAGGACAAGTGAGGTCAGCGCTCGGGGGTGCCAACTGGCTTCAACGTGACGCCTGCCATTAAATACATATCCCACCCCACTAAAACACGCACGCACACGAAAATCTGCGCTTCCTGCATACGACCATGCAAATAAACACACATGTGCCTATGACACATGAATACATACATTTTTACTGAGATCACAGATCATTATCTCGATTTCCGCAGAGGCACGCACATGCACACACATACATACAAAGACATAGTTACGCAAAAAGACACACATTTTTCGACAAACATTTACTCTGTACATGGCGTGTGTGTGTGTGTGTGTGTATATATATATATATACACACACACACACACACACACACACAAACCTGGACAGTGTGGCAAAAATACACATGAACACAAGCACGCACAGACACATGTGTTACATACACACAGTTAAGACACACGTGCACGCGCACGCGGCACAAGCAGCATAACAAAGAATGACAAGTTGAGATTAATGGTGGGCCTTCTTCTGGCAGCCCAATTTAATTGTCAGCCATGATGGCCGCTGAACTCCATCAGATTATTTACACAAGGTTAACGCAGCGTCTTCAACAGTTGCTAATGGGAGCGACCGATACGCCATTGGGAGGGCCCGTAGCGCGTCCTTGGGATGACGCGGGGGCGCCGAGCAGGCACCGCGCAGTGACGAGGGCGACAGGTGCTCGGGTCACGATGAGAAGAAATAGAAAGGAACTCTTTTCATAATACTATGTGGTTTCTTGTTCAAATCTATTTTTGTTTTTCTTTTTCAGCATTCGGGCAGCCACCATCTGAAAACCAAATTAGATTCAACCTTTCAAGGATGATTTTTTTTTTCTTTTTTCAGCGGCAAAGAAAGAAGCGTCATGATATTAAAAGGTGAAAGGATTGGAAGGACGCTTGAACTGAGAGCAATGGACATATTGTCTGCATTGTCTGGACAAAAACAGATTTTTTTTTGCTTTGATATGGATTTTTGTCAGGTCTTTGTCAAAGCAAGACCCGATAGCCAAGGAAAACGGTCAAAACGTGTTGCATTTCGGCACTTGTTCGACGTCTAAGCAAGACAGACACTTGAGGTATAAGACATTTATTTTCCCCTTCACTGCTAACCACACTTTTCTGACACTGTTTATTGCTGCCGGGCGGCGGTCTGTTCCAATTGTGCCTATTTACACTCCCCATGCTACGCTTCATGCTAGCAGTGGGTCCGCTTCATGCTAGCCGTGGGTCGCCATTTTTTTTCTTTCGAGGATATTTGCAAGCCTCAAGAAGTCAAAATTAAGATCGGAACTTTTTCAAAGGCTTCACATTTATTATGTGTGACAATTAGAGTGCTGAGTATGGTCTAAAATTTTCATTTTGACATCTTAACAGTTTTCCGATTTTATTTACCGGACTCAGTGGTCCTCAGTGGAGCTGATCCAAAATAACTGATGCTGTAATCAATCACAACACCTCACATGAGCTCCAAACTTCACTTATGCTAACCCCCTGAAAAACATTTGACGGTGGCCATGAAATGACGCCCCGAAGGCCTGGAATAGACTTCAAACATAAATAAATCCCGTAAAAAGGTGGAGACATTTTTTTAAAAATTGATCTTGGAGAGATTTTAGCCACCTGTTTTGTAACACACACACACACAGACACGTCAGATCAATTGATGGATGTTACATTTAGAGAAATGTTAAATATACATTAGCACATGTGCTCACGGCATTTAGAGAAAAATAATCAAGCCGGTGCCGGGGATCCGAGCTTGCGGTCAGTCAGAATGAGGAGGGTTCCGCTTTGGGAAGAATAACGTCATATTTTTGGCATCGACATGCCGATGGAGGCGTAAAGGACGTACGGGTGAAGGCCGGGTCAAAGAACACACAACGGGCAGCGCAAACACTCCTAATACTTGCTTCACATGAATCCAAAACGAAAGAGAAGCGCCAACAAGCGGTTTTAAGAGATGTCGTTGTTTGGCGGTGAGGCACATGGCTGCTAGCTTAGACTGTAATGTAATGTTTCTTTATGTCTAGAATATTTTTAAAAATGTCAATAAATATTGGATGCACAGAAACTTTATTCAGCGTCCTTCCTTCGACAGGTTGCCCAACTCCCCTGGTCCGAGTGGTGTTTAGGCGCAGGCAGTTGGGAGTCACACGATTCACCCACGATCGCAGTGTTGCCCTAAAACATTTGCAAAGCTCGGGGTTGTACTTGCAGAAGTACCGCTTCTTTGCTCAGCTGGTTTCGTCTCGACTCGTTTGCAGAACTTAAGTCGTCGGTCTTTGCAACACACCAGAGGTGCGATCACAAGCCGACATGCTTCCAGATGCCGTTTAATTAAAGACGGTGACACGTTAATCACAACATTTGATACATACACCAACGCAAACGGCTCGGATGGATTCCACTAGTGGGAATCTGCATAACATTACCGACATCCCAACAGCAAATGTGCAACGTTGACATTTGGGAGCCTCCCGTGTTTTGAACTTTTCTCGGGGGGCTGTTAGCGCAAAGGCTAATGACCTATATACGCGTGCACGTGCGCGTTGGTTCAAATGCGTGTTGAGGGCTGATCGGTGCTCAATTGCTGACGCTGTGCAACACTCGCGGAGGCACCTTGGCAGGGGTGATGAGGGTGCGACCTCGCCCCGACATAGGATTTGGCACCTGTCACGCACATCAACACACACGTACACAAACGTGCACACATAAAATGTCTAAATTAACGTTGCACGAATAGCACCCCTTCCCCGCAAAGAAATCGGTTGCATCTTCAGGCACCTGCTGAAAAACACAAACGACATTGTGTCTCACCTTTGCGCTCACGTTGGCAGCCAGCTGTTTGGCGTGCACACACACACACACACACACACACACACACACACACACACACACACACACACACACACACACACACGAGGAAGTAGGCGAGTGTTTTGTCGACACTTGATGGAGAGAACAAGATGCTGTGAACTTCCACCACTTTCAGAAGTAATTAGAACCTTTCTCTGCGTCATTTTAAGACGCTTACCGCTTTCTTGGTCTTTTTTGATCTTCTACTGTTAGTGTTTAATCTATATCATAATAAAGGCAGAACGCAAGAAAAAAAAAAAACAGGTTAAAATATCAGGAGGATCCCAGAGGGCTGTTATGTAAATGTGGATAAGAATAAGGTCACATTTAATATTATACATTAATGTAAGTCCCCTTTTGGCCACCATCTTGGCAAAAAAACAAACAAAAAACAAACAAACATTGTAATGTGACATTCAGAGAAGTGGGACAATGGCGAACTACCAGCAGGAGGCCGCGGGAAACCAGACTATCAGTCTGACGTAGCCTAGCTCAGCAAAGCTGATGAATTGTTTTTTTACTGATTAATTCAAGTTTTTCTGTCGAGATGAGTTTTACAAGAATTTCTTGTGACTTCTGTAACTGCTTGTTCTAACATCACAGCTGTGAACAGAGAGGAGCTAATAAAGCTAAAGCTACTAAACAGTCAGTGTATCTAACTTAATGATTTGATATTGAGCGACTAGCAAGTTCAATTCGCGCTGAGAAACAGTCTCTATTAGTTAGTTAGGACTGAGAACATTTGGTCACTGTTTAGCATCCTGTAGGTCAAAAGAGACAGACAACACGAAAAACAGTTAAATAGTTGTTTCATTGGAACAATACAAGTCAAAACTATGAATGCAAATTAGCATGGTTAGCTTTGGCTCACCATGCTAATTGACAGATGATAACATTTAAGATCGTTTGAAGATTTGAGCTAAAAATCACAGCTAATAGTATGATAGCCACTATTATTCATCTTTACAACTTTTAGTGGGTCATTTCGAAGTCCACCCAAGTATTGAAGTATCTGAAAAGTAGAAAAAAAAAGACCATTGTCGCTTGGTTAATTTTTTTGCTTTGTGCTGCACTTTGTTACAGCTGCAGCTGTTGTGAAAGCGCGATATAAATCAGGATGTATTGTATTGTATTGTAGTGTGATCCGAAATGTGTTCATTAAAAAATAATGACAATAATGTAAAAATATATGTCATACAAGGTATTTTAGCGAGAGCAAAATCTCAGCTCTACCAAGCAGGCTAACTTTGGGACACCCTCCCGTTCCTCTATATTATCAACAGAATCAGCACTGATCCCGCCTGCAGTTTAATTTATCACCTCCAGATTAAACTCGATGAAATCCAACATTTTAATTGAATGTTTAGATGGCACGCGGTTTCGGTGATAAATTTCCACGAGCACCCTGTGCTGCCATTTCATATTCCTCGCAAACTAATTACATTTGCATAACTGATGCTGGTCGTGATGATTGTCGTAGGGTTGCTTGTACCACGTTGGTTGTATTTTAAAAGAGACCCAGGCGCGAGGAAGTCAACATAAGCGTTGATCTCAACCCACATGTGACCTGTTGTATGAGATCAATGAAAAGCAAATGGAGCTCGTCTTGATAATGTCAGGCCCAGCTGATAAAAAAACAACAACAAAAAAGAAAAAAACAACGCTTTATGATGTGTTGACCTTTGCTTGCTGTAGCTCATTTGTCACAGTTACCGTCGAGGCAACTCAATAAGTGACGCTTGCCGCTAATACACTTGAAAACTCCAAATATGCTTAAAATTGATTTTGAGATGAAATACGCACAGCGGTCACTTTATTAGGTTCACCTGCGCCCATTTAAATCCAATCCCAGAACTTTCAGTGAAACGCAACAGTGGAAAAGAGCAGTCCATTGGTTGGTGCGCGACAAGAGTAGCTTGCGATCCCCTGCTGAGCACCTTGTCAGACTTATGAGCGATGGCGGCGGTTTGGGAGAACGGTAAGAACACATTTGCGGTGTTGTGTACATGCGGCGTTGCGGCTCTCCAGTGGGTGCTAACCTCCGCAGGCTGTGGGAACCATGTGTTTTGGGAGAGGCAGAGGAGAGCGGGGATGAGGAGGAGATGGACGCGCAGATGAGAGATATGGAAAGCGGCCATCATTGCAGCTGTCAGGCCCCACCCACTTTCCCAAAAAGTCTGGGATATCGGATTTTGGAACTGAACATGTCAGGATGACCTAAAAAAATTAAAAATTGGTCGATCTGCAAGTGATGACATGACAACTGATGACTGTTTTTGCATAAAATGCTAACTATCTGCTGACCTCATCAAGCCGATGGGACACTCAAGTGTCTGAGAAATGTTGTAAAACTCCGCTTCTTCCATCACACTATGGGAGCCGTGCTGTGTTATGTCGCCTCAAGTTTGGTAGTCTTGCCGTTTTGTTTTTTTTTTTTGTCGTTTTTTTTGTTGTTTTGTTTTGACAAAGATGAGTAGAGTAAGAAAAATAGTTTAATTAGATGCATTGAAGTAAGCCGGTTTTGCCAAAAACGGATTGCTGTCATGCCTTGTTGCAGAAGGAAGCCGGTCAGCCACCAAAATAAGATTCACTTTCGTCTATTAAAACTGCTTCGTCAGCTCGCCGATTTATTTATTGCATCGTTCGGGGGTTCTAAAATGTTTGAAAATGATTTCGGGAAGCTAATCTAACCATGATGTTACATTTGTGACGTCAATATAAGCAGATAAAGTTGGTTGAGAAGCGCAGCAAAGGAACATCTGACGAGACTTTTCACTGATTTGACGTGAACTTGAAATCAATAGCGATCTCCGAGGAAAACTATTTTTTTCTCGTGCGTGAGTGACATATGCTGCTACTTCACTCAGTCAGGGAGGGTCGTTAACTCATCCGCAGCGGAAATATCTGCTCCGATGTCTCCTTCACCACTTTGGAATGTTCTCCTTCTTGCCCTTGGACGCTCCATTTCCTCCTCCTCCTCCTCCTCCTCCTCCTTCATCCTCTTCTTGGCTCTCACGCTGTGAAAAGTAAGTGAGAGAAATGAGGAAGTCCAATCTGCCGCAGGACAACAACACTGTAGGTAGCAATAAGAAGCCATGTTGGAGAGACGCTGACGGGCCGTAACACAGCAGCCCGCCAAGTGGGCCCGCTGCTTTAAATATGACCGCGGCTGCTTACGGTGATTGAGGAGGACCCCTGCCGCAATGCCCTCACTTCCATGCGGCCCGTCAATATATCACACCGCCGGAATGGTTCACTCGCTATGTTTTATTTGATTTTATGACTGGGTTTGCTCTCTATAGACTTACTTGATTCACACTCAACATGTTTGTATTCGTATTTTATTTTATCATTGGTTGATTCTAGAATAGGGCACTGCTTCAATTTTATTTGAATTGAATTGGTTTCATGTTAATTAACAAAAATCCAATTAATTAAAATCAAATCAAATGTTCAAATGAAATTATTTGAGCATTTTATTTGATTTTAGTTTGCTTTATAAAATTGTTTGATACATTTTTTAGATTATTTTATTTTGTTTGATTTTAGATTTTTATTTGACCACTTTTTCCCTTTTATTTATTTATTTTTTACAAATTATTCCAGACTTTTAAAAATATATTTTATTTTAGATTTTCATTTGAACCTTTTATTTTGATTTATTCATTAATTTATTTTTAAACAAGCGTTTTCAATTTTTCATTGTATTCATTCAGTCAATTAAATTCTTACAACTACATGTACTGGGATAATATTTATTTGTGAATGTATTCTCATCACACAGTCGTCATTCTTGCTTGACACAATTTTGCTTTCTGCCTCGGTTTATGTTGGTGAGTTTAAGAGTGCCATGAATATAGATGTGACCCCTTTCTCCATGACGCTTGAACACACACACGCATACGCACGCTGTTTATCTGATTCATGCGTACATTCTACACATGCGCGCGCTCTCTCTGCTGACATTTCCCATTGTGTTTGACATATTACAAGTGTCCATATTATTCACTAGTTTATGTTAGTAACCAGCAGGCCCCGATTTGGTCATTTTAATTGCCGTTGACACGTCTTGAAGGACTAATTAGAGAACAGCGACGTCGCGCTAATTTTCCACAGTTCCTTAGCCACACGGAAGAGGCGTTTGCTTTTATGAGAAAAACTGACGATTGCGCTCTGAACCGGGCCCACACTCAATTATGAGGATTAGAGTGGATAATCACAGAGATGAGGAGAACTTGTTGTTGGCAACTTTAAGAGACGGAGAAGCTTGATATGATTGTTATTTCACATCAGAATCATATCAGGCAAATTAACCAGGGGGAGTGTATAGTGTAGGTGTATATTAGAGGAGCAATGATGAAATAAAGAAATGACGACCTTCCACCACGGGTGAAAATGCAATGCTTTTCGTCATATATATAGATAGATAGATAGATAGATAGATAGATAGATAGATAGATAGATAGATATCTCTATATACATAGATATATAGATAGATAGATATAGATTCTTGGACCGTAAAAAAAAAAAAAAAAAAAAACACCAAAAAATCGGGGGGGCCTTTTGGGGGGCCGGAACAGATTACTGGCATTTCCATACATTGCAATGATGAAAGACACTTTGAGATACAATTTTATTTTATATACTGTATATGTATAATTTTTTTTTTTTTGGGTGGGGGAGGCGGGGGGTGATGGTCCCCTGTTTGCGTGTTCAGTTCCTTTTTTAGTGCATACGAGGCTCCAAAGAAACACATAATGCAGCCCAGATGATAGTTAACATTGACATCTCAGTCATGTCTTGTCAGTGGTACTTTCCCAGCTGGAATATTAACACCGCTTTTTTCCCCCCTCTGCTAACCCCACCCCCTCCCCCATTCCAAAAAAAATAATACAAAATAGAATGAGTGTTAGGTGGAGGAGGCTTGCAGCATGAGGGAGGGAGTGATGTAATTACACATCGTTGCTATCAGTGCCCTTGAACTCTGCTGTTTGTCAAGCTGGCCCAACAATGTAGCCTCTGTGCGATAACAGCCGGCGAGCCCCGGGCGAGGATGACGGAGGCTGTGGCGGGAAAAACAAAATGGCGCGGGCTTGTGGTTTGATACTCAAACGCAGGATTTGAACCCTAACTTGAAGCCCTAATCCTTATTCATAACCGGTAACCAGAGTCTGATACCCCAAATTCTAAATTCCCTAACCAAGGCTACACACCCTAATTTGAACCATAACCAAGGTTTGAAATGCAAATTTGAAACCCTCACAAAGGCTTGACACACTAATACGAAACCTTAACCAAAGCTTGAAACCAAAAATTGAAATCCTAAACAAGGCTCGAAACCCTCACTTGATACCCCAATTTAGTGTACATTGAAAGTCAAATTGAAAACCGTAACCTTCGTTTGAAATCATCATCGGGGCTTTTTCAAAACCCAAGACCCTTGCTTCAAAACCTTATTTTCAAACCCTAACACATGCCTCTTTTAACCTCGGCTTCAAAACCGTAATGAAAAACGGCCGCGGTGTGGATTTGCATGAATGCGTGCTAATGAACCTTGAAAAAAAAAATAACAGCCGAAGCTTTCCACAGTGGGCATCCTCCTCTGACTCACAGTTGGGGAAAGTTCAAAACCCAAATTCCTCTGGCCACCATTTGTTTTCTTTTCCATTGATCACCAAGCAGCTGCTGACGGATTCTCTCTCTCTCTCTCTCTCTCTCTCCCTCCTCCTTCCCTCTCCTCCCTGCCCCCCCCCAC